TTCAGCACCCGTTACTCCAGTCTTGAAAGTTTAGAAGAACAGCATTTATTTTAAATAGAAATCTTTTGTAGCATTATAAATGTCTTTACTGTCACGTTTGATCAATTTAATGCATCCTTTTTAAACTTCTTTAAAAAAAATGTACAGACCCCAAACATTTGAATGGTCAACTTTGTGCATCCTCTGTACATTATATCTATGGCATGTTAATATGTTTCTTTGGAAAAACAATCTGATTGCCTATTAAGACTGAAGTTTCAGTGTAGATTGTAATCTAAAGTACAGTATCATGTTTACTGCCCCTAGTGGTTACACTTTACACTTTTAAATACACTGAGGAGCCAAAACATTATGACCACCTCCCTAATATGTTGTTGGTCCTCTGCGTGCTGCCGACTCATCTGAGGCATGGACTCTACAAGACCCCTGAAGGTGTCCTGTGGTATATGGCACCAAGACGTTAGCAGCAGATCCTTCAAGTTCTGTAGGTTGTGAGGTGGAGCCGCCATGGATCGAACTTGTAGGTCCAGGAAATCCCACAGATGCTCAATTGGATTAAGATCTGGGGAATTTGGAGGCCAGATCAACACCTTGAACTCTTCATCATGTTCCACAAACCATTCCTGAACAATGTGTGCAATGTGCATTATTCTGCTGAAAGAGGCCACTTCCACACCATTGTGATGAAAGGGTGTACTTGGTCTGCAACAATGTTTAGGTAGCCTAGGTGGCACTTGGAAAACTTTTCATCCACATGAATTGCCGGACCCAGGGTTTCCGAGCAGATCATTGCCCAAAACATTTTTCCTCAGGTAAAAAGGGCACACGTACACAGCCGTCCATGTGATGTAAAAGAAAACAGGACTCATCCGACCAGGCGAACTTCTTCCACTGCTCCAAGGTCCAGTTCTGACACTTTCAGCAGTGGACAGGGGTCATCATAGACACTCTGATTGGTCTGCGGCTACACAGCCCCATACAAAGTGCAATGCACTGTGTTGTGACACATTCCTCCCATAACCATCATTAAAATTGTGTATGACCTTCTGTTGGCTCAGACCAGTGCCTTGCCATAACAATCTGGCCCTTGTTAAAGTCAATCAGATCTTTATTCCTGCCCATTTCTCCTGCACTCAACACTTTGATTACAAGAACAGATTGTTTGATCTAATATATACCCAGACCTTATGTGGCCTTGTTAGGAGATTATCAACGATATTCACTTCACCTTAGACTGGTCAGAATGTTTTGGCTCATCAGTGGCCTTGTTTAAGTCCAATTTTTTATGCCCTTCCCTGGCTAACTTCCCTTCATCTCGCTTACTTGGATGTACGTCATTGCTTATGTTGCACAACTGCCCACTACAGGCGGAACCTTGCAATGTTTTTAAATGGAACGCCCCAAACCCTTGATGACTTGAAATCCGCAATGAAGCTGATTTATTAATTACACTTTATTTGCTTTACACACCATTCGGCCTGTATGTATGCTTGGGCTGTTGGACAAAATAAAAAAAAATTGACATACGAAAATTATCAAAATAGGCCTGCAATAGACTAGGCCTAACAGTCAGCTTAAGGTAGCTACAAGTATTATGTGGTTAAATGTCAAAATAACTAAAAAAATATGTCAAATATGTCAAAAATATAATACACTAGATTGTGTGGGGTCGGGGTAAATTAAGCACCATCTGCTGTGACTTCACAATCATGTTGCATTGTGGTCTATGGATCTGCCTGAAGCCCAATTTATACTTCTGCGTCAGTTAACCACTGCTAGGTAGTTAGATGATCTTTGTTCAGTTGTTAAGTCTATTTAAAAAGACTATTTGCTATTTAGCTTTTATAAATAGTGGTAGATTTCCTACACTTATATTTTGGATAAAGACTGTCAAAATCCACCATAAACTTTTGAAATAATTTTCTCTTAAGTGTTCTATTAATGGTTTCAGTGTATGTTTCCATGTATTAAGTGTTACCCACAGGACCATTTTTATAAATGCAGGGAATGTCCAGTTCCTTGTGTTTTAAATGGGCCAAAAGGTGAAATAAATAGCGAGGTCCCATATTAAGTCGATATTGCTATGCCGCAAACACTCTTTGCTCATCTAAAGCTAATGGGAATCTGCTGAGAGGCAGTGCTATTTGTTTGGTCGACTGGAGGCTTAATGTGATGAAGAAGTCCCCATGGAGAACTGATGGCTGGAGGCGAGAGATACTTCAGGTCACTTAAAACCAGCAGCAACTCTTTTTAAGCAATTTTTTAATATCCGTATATGGCTTGTCCAACAGGAGTTTAAGAATTTGTTTCTAGAACTGTTTCTAGATTTTTGTTTATTGGACTACTTTGGTTTGATAACAAATAGTTGAAAGAGTATGATGTCAAGTCTGTGTTAATTAGGCAAACGATTCCCTTTAGACAGAACTGATTAAATGCATCATGTCCCTAATGCACTGTCCCTTGATCCATTCATTTCCAGTAACAAACGTGAATTCCCTATATACAATATGACAACCTACTATGTATGAACTTATTTGTATTTGTACAGACTAAGCATATATAATTATCTGAGACTCCTCTGTGGGGTTTGGTTTACATTGCATGCATTCTCAGAGAGATTGATGATTCAGAGATGGCAATAAGCTTCAGTTTTGAGCATTGGTCACTTGTGCAGACATCTGTCACTGTGAGTGTCCTGCTGCTATCTTCAAGTGCTTTAAACGGAATGGTTCGACACATAAATCTGACTTTTTTGATGAGTATTTACATATTTCAAAGTTAGAGTTATCTGGTTACATCTAGCCAAAATTATTAAATACATATAAACTAAATAATTAGTGTATATGTCTAGCTAACTTTAGAAATAAAACCTGACTAGCTGGTCTTTTTGTTTATATAAAATATAAATATAAAAATATTGGTATAAAACATGGACCAAAAAGTCATTTAATACTAGAACTACTTCTAGATTTAAATGTAATGTCTTTTATTCAATAAGGATGACTTTACACATTTTTAAAATTTAATCATGTTATTAAATAATAAATAATAAAATTACAGGAAGAGCTTAATTCCCAAATATGTGTCAGTTTAAAACAAGGGCCTCATAAACATGTTTAAGCAGGGCCACTTTGTTTATAATTAATCACTTTATAGTTCATAAGGTGGACACATTATAATCAAGTTGAATAACAGAGCACTGAAGGAAAATCTTTGTTTATTCATACATCATATTTTGCATCTTATATATCTCGTTCAACCCACGCTGATTTATAAAACACCCTTTTCAACATGAGTGAGTTTGCACAGTGTATTCTTCTAGCCAGGCATTTTGCATTCAGATATTTCTTTCCTGAGCATCCCTGAAGTCTATTGACAAAGTGTTTTAACTTGCTTTAAACAGTGTTGCTCACAATTACTACACAATGAAATAGATGCTACTGTAGGATGTGTGTCCAATGTTGGTGATGTGAATGGCTCATTTTCCTATTGTTCCAAAGGACATCATCCTGGCTAAAAGACATCATCATGTTGTTCTAAAGGACATAATTATGTTGTTCCAAAGGAACCATAAGCCTGTCGCTCTTTGTATGTAAAGGCTGTTATTATAATTTATAATCCACTATACAACAGTTAGTTCTTGTTCTCAAATTATTCAACTTTATTTGTCTATGTTTGGAAAACCTGACGTGAATGTGGAGCGGGGCTAGGAAATCTCTGTGGCTTTGCTTCGCTCCACTTCACTCACATATGCTGCTCCAGACCGGCGTTTATTCAGTGCTGCTTCATGACATGTGTTACCGGTCCTACTCGACCTGCTCCAAGCGAAATTGGGTTGGGAGGCGTGCGCGCTAACAAGGACGCTAAAGACCATAATCTCTTGAGGCCAGGGGAGTGAGGTTTACATGCACAACTCTTACTGGCCTATACGTCAGTAATACGCATCCCCCTAAACCTCACTTCCATCCGAGTCACGGCACCAAATGTAGTCCTACTTGACCCGCTCTGAGCGGGATTCGAACCGGTGTCTCCAGCTTGGGAGGCGGGCGCACTAACAAGGACTAAGACTGCCAGTCACTGGCATGCCTTTTGTGGCAAGAGCAGTGAGGTTTACACTCACAGCTCTTACTGGCCTACGTCCGTTGCACATGCAGAGTCGATGCTTTGACTTCTCTTGGAACTATTTTCATTGGAAAGAAATATACAAACTAACTGGTCAATTTTTGTCTAACATGTAAGTTACTGGATATTCATTTCCATGTTTATAGAACTGTTGTATAAAAGCAATATAATCCTTCTGTTGTTCTGAATATCAGCGTGGCTGTGATTACCTGCAAACGAATTATAGAGTGCAGCAGTGCCCGGCCACTTTTTCAACGGCCTGGATGGTTCGGGATGTATTTTTCACATAAGAAAAAAAAAAAAAAAAAAACTTAATTAAAGAGTTGTAAGCCATGAACCAAACCAGGTATGAGATAATCACATTACAAACTTTGATTTGGAGCTAAATATTATTTGAAAATCAGAAAAAAAAAAAAATCAAGGTACATGACTGTGTACTTAATTGCTTTACAATCTCATGAAACACTGCAAATTACATCATTGAATTAAAAATGATGGATAAATATAGGCCTAATTTATTTAAGGGTGTTGATTATATAGAAATATACACATAGTTAAGTAGTTTTAGAATGCAAGAAAACTACCTCTACACATCATTCACAGTGCTCAAGAGCTCTTTTTGCGCAATTTGCTTGTCGCAATTATCAGATTGGTGGAGATTTCTCTGCAAAATCTGCCAAAGTAATGCTGTTTTTTCAACAGGAATTCTGCTATTGCCTATTAAACAAGACTATTAAAAAAATATATATAATGTGCGATCAGAAATAATGCGGGCTGGTAGCTACAATAAAAACACATACCATTAATTAACAACCTCGCAGTATGTCTGTCTTTACAGCCTATGTTTATAAGTTAGGCCTACCATTCAAAATGAATTCCCATTTGGAGAAAATAAATAAGATTTTTATTTCTGGAACCTGACTGTTGCACTCTATAATGTGACAACCTTTATAAGAGCTTTCCAAAACAGGTAGGTCAACACAGTTTCTGTCCTTGAAAAATAAACAAAATTAATAGAAACTGTATGACGTTCACAGTTGTTATTTCTCTCACTGCACAGTCATCGCCGATAATGTCATATAATTACATGCCAGTGATGCCTCACAAATAATCTGGTGTCACACTCCAATAGCTGCATTCTCGGTGTCCTTGGTAACCAACTCCTCTTGCAACGGTGACGAACCCTCCATTAATTCTAGACCATGTTCTGTCAAAGACGAGACGTCAGGTCTTGCACTGTAGCTTATCAAAGATGCTTGGTCAGTTGTGGGAGAGGCTGAATCCCAAATATTTGGCTGATTCTCAGGGGTGCCGAACCCAGAACTGCCATATACGTTTTGTTTAGTCGAAGATGTGGCTCCATGTGCCGAAGGAGGTTCAATTGATGCACCTGCTACCAGAAAACTAGTTTTCGACTCATCGCTAACTTCTGCTGTACTGAAACGTCCTGGTTTTTCGTGAATGTGTAGGCCTACTGGGTCAAATGTTCCTATTTGGTCAGTTTTCTCTGTTTTTGTTGTGGGGATATTTGGTAGGCCTTCATGACCTTTGTTGTCAACCAAGTGCAGTTGTCCCTGTTGAGAAGTGGAGTGGGCGTAGGTGGGAGTCTGTGTTGATCTCAAACTTACCGGTGGTGTATTATTCATCTTGTTAATTGTCGGTACATCACTTGTTGTGATATTACTTGTGTTTATGGGTATCATTGCGGCCGTCATCAACACATCTGACCGTCCAGACACAGAGGCAGACGTCGGTTTCCATATCAAACTGTAATAAATTGCCAGTATTATAGCAGCCAAAGACACTGACAAAACATAAGCGAATACCGTAGCCAGTCTCACCCACTTTTTATTGGTTTTAGCAGCCATTTTAGCCTTTTTATCTCCCGTGTATGTAGCCGGTTTGCCCCGTTCTATGTTGGGCATAAAGTCCCGTTCCCTCATGTTCGCGCGGATTCTCCCTCTGTGCTCCAGTACGCCTTCCGTCTTGAACGCTTGTTATTGACGACTAACGTTAATTCAAGAGAACTGCTGACGGTTTAAAACACAGCGCTTGTCGATTATCCACGTCGCTGTTTTTTATTCATTCATCATTCATCCAATCTTGCAAATCCGATCCAATAATGATCCAATAGAGAGATGTTTCCAGCATGACAGTAGCGTGTGGTCGTTATTCCATGCAGAGATGGCCGGTAGCTAAAGCAATCTAACTCTGTCTAAACCAGAGAAGAGATGGGATTCATCTGCTAAATGACATGAAAACTGACATACAAGACAGCCTCTGTGTTTGTGCAGTGAGGGGACCTTGTGCTACAGCTAAAATGAACGGAGGTGGGTCTTACTAACAAGTCGCTGCCCACAGCTAAACGTCATCCTGTCAGAATCCCTGTGTTTGGGTAGCAGAAAAATAACATAGGACATGGTTACATTTAAAGGGAAACTGTATCCATTTGGCCACAAATACATTTGAACAGTATTGCATTTATCAATTCGCTTATTAATAATTATAAAATAGGTAGGGAAATTCTGTTTTTTGCAGGACACTGTCTCTGCTTGAAACTTGTCAATTATAGCAACTTTATAAACTATTCATCAACTGTACAAATAGACATTTGTACAAATTTCAGTTCTTTTTCACCGGTCTTGATTCGATTAATAGTTTTCTATTCTGTTTTAGAAACCCTGGTGCAGGACAGTTGTTTTCTTATTGGCTATATTTAAAAAATAAAGGCAAATAAAGGCTATCAAATATATTATGTATTGAATAGTTTAATTTGGAGTTTTTTTTTTTAGAAACTAGTCAAAGATTTTACCGGATCTGTCTAAAGGACACTTTTTGGCCATTTCAGATGTAGGATGGTTTATGACTTTTGTCAAATATTGCTTTTGCCTTTGTTTTGACACATTATTCATGGATATTCATCAATTAACTGATGCCACCAGCTGGGCAAACAGCTACACTGCACTATTACTGATTTTTTTTTTTTTTTTTAGCATATTACAAGTCAATATTTAATTTATTGGTCAAACAAAGTACACCATTGCTGTTGGTTATGATGATAGAATATATATGATTGTCTGAAGAGAGATATTTGAAGATGTTTGGAGAGAAGATAGAGTTGTGTCTCATTCTACTCCCAAAGCAAGCTTGTCATTTTTACTTACTTTAGGTGTCCGTTTGACACCTCTCAACATGTTTTTCACACAGCAGTTTTTCTTTCTCTTTTTCCTTTTTTTTAGTAACCAGACAATAGAGAAAACACTGAGGACAAGTGTTGCCACTAGATGGCTTTACTTTTAGCAATGCAGAACAATAACAGACTATTTTTTTGAGTTATGTTATACAAGTATTCAGTAACGTGGACTTGGCTGAGGGTGCTGAATATGCAACCTAATGGGTATAAAATGAATCTGGATGCACTCATCAATGATCATATAAAAGCTTCTTGCATAGTCATGAGCTGCCATGTGATTCTCTTCTGTATACCTTCACAGGCTACAGCAGTTAGTTGTAACAGAATACATTTTTTTAAAGAATTTAAAGGGGTAGTTCACCCAAAAAACGTTATCATCATTTATTCACCATCAAGTTGTTCCAAACCTGTATGATTTTTCTTTCTTCTGTTTAACACAAAAGAAGATATGTTAAAGAATGTTGGTAATTAGAAAGATGACGGTAGCCATTGACTTCCATAATAGAAAAAAAAATACTAATGGAAGTCAATGGCTACATCAACTAGTTTTTTCTATTTTCCATCACAATTATCTTTCCATTTGTTTGTTTCTTTATTCTTTTAGCTTCTCTTTATTTGCTTTATTAAACAATTTTCTGCCTCAATGTGAATTTTGAAGCTGTTATTTTTTTAAATGTAAGTTGTTAGCAAGTTGCTATATAAGGACTAAAGCGGTTATACAATTCCCCGAGCATGAACTCACCTCGGTGATTCTACATTTCTATGGCTTAAAACACTTTTTTTTAAATATTTTTTTTTATATGTGTGATAACAAACCCCATTACAGGAAATAATGACCTCAGTGAATTGTGTGTGGGTTAAAGACACTAGACCAAGACATAATTAAAGAGTAAATCTGATGACAAAAAAAAAAAACAGTAACGGCAAACTAATTTAAAACAATTGATATTTTAATTAAGCTTTTGTTTGTTTGAATAGTTTACTTTGCACTATATTCATTCATTATTAGCACATGGGTACATTTATTTTCTTTAGTGTATTTTCTCTTATTTCATCAAATAACTTAAGTGATATTAAGTCACTTAAAGGGAGAGTTCACCCAAAAATGAAAATTCTGTCATCCTTTATTTCCATAGTATTTTTCTTCCAATGGGGTCCATCATCTGTTTGGTTACCATTATTCTTCAAAATATCTTCTTTTGTGTTCAACAGAAGAAAGAAACTCATACAGGTTTGGAACAACTTGAGGGTGAGTAAATGATGACAGATTTTTCGTTTTTGTGTGAGCTATCCCTTTAATTGGCGTTTTCAATAGAAATGAATCAGAACCATACTTGCTATAAAAAAAAGTAATGAAAGTGCAGATACATTTTCATAAAAGAAAAAAATCTTAATAGTTAATTTTCGTGAAGAAAAAATCACATTGAAATGCAAATAAATACATTTTAATATTGCCAGAGCGAACTTAAGTTCTTAACCAGATTGTTAGAGAATAAGGAAAAATGGCACCTAAAAATGTGTTTCCTTATCTCTACGCACCTTTAGTTTGTATTTGTCAGTTAATGAGGTGAAACGCTGTTTAGAAGCAAACTCTGACTGACTGCATGTGTTTTGACGAAAGCAGAACCCATGTTGAGATGCCCCAATAGGTGTCAAGGGCCTGCTCTTGACTGTGCCTGAGTCCACACGGCCAAGCTCAAGAACAAAGGGTTGCAAGACTCTCCTTGTCTGTGTCCCACAGATCTTTGACGACCCCCCTCAACCCCCCAACATACACAAGCACGGCCCATACCCCAGCACATACATACAACCTCAGCATGTGGCAGACTACCGGAGCCGACCCAATGTTGCCCCATTTGCATTTTAAGCACAGGATGGAAAGAGAACACTTGAGGTGTTGTAGCACACAACGGCTCATCAACATTTCAGCATTTCAGTGAGTTTTTACAGTACAGCTCCTCACAGGCACGATTCACCCATATATACCATAACAGCATGATGCTTGACTTAGAGTTCAAGTTTGTTTGACTTGCAACTTTCGGACTGGCTGTTTAAGACAACTGAAGCAATAATTATGTCAAATTTGGCATAAGAATAAATAAATACACGCTACAGGGATCTTCCGCATTGTTTTAAGCCTGGCACCAATCTCTCTCCCCTCAAAAAAACTGGACTGGAGAGGATGAATTTAGGGGGGGGGATGTAGGTTAGTGGGTAGATGAGGTCGAAGAAGAGGGGGTGTGTGGCTGAAGGAGTAGAAACAAAAGGTTCTGTGAAAGGCTGCAAAAGGTGGACAGGCAGAAGTGTTAAAAGTGATACCCTGAAGAAACAAGAGGCAGATATACACCTCACCTTCCCAGATCTCTCTCTCTCTCTCTCTCTGCCATTTGCACATACTGTCTGCTCTAGCACAACTCCAATCAACAAATTTGTGAGCTTGACCTTGTGTGTCCTGCTAGTCTGACTTGTCTTTTAGTGAGATAACTGGAGCATGAGCAGCACTGTGACTAAAAGGGAAATGGTTTTGGAAAATTGGATACCTGCTGAATTTATGGAATCCTGAGAATGTTTTGAGGGGGTTCAAATGGAAAACAAGGTCTTTCTAACCCATTAAAAGAGAGCACTGCACTAAACACATCCCCGGGTATACAGAAAAATCTATCTACATCTGATTGAAACTGGACCCCAGGCTTTTGCCGTGGAAAGAAAACACTTCAAAGCCATTGTCTGAGGGAGTTCACTTTGAGCTATGGAAATGGAAATTTCCAGCATTCCTCAATGATAATTGGCTAACTCCAAAAGCGCAGTGAAGCTTAACTTTAATTACTAAGGAAGCAATAGACCCTATTCAAACTTTGTTTTCCATTTAAAATCTTTTCATTTTTGAAGTGTTATTGCTGATATAAAAATGCAAACATATAAGGTTGAACTTTGCAACAAACTTTTCATTCAAACTTTTTGAGAGAGACTGTTCATTTTCAGTATAGGCCTTTTCTAAAGTAACATTACTTAACAGATTAAAGTAACAATGAATACAGTTAACACATGTGACAGCATTTGCAAGCAGCTTTACCATAAATAATCCATATTTTTTATATATATATATATATATATATATATATATATATATATATATATATATATATAATTAAGGTCAACAAATTATCTAATTTAAAATGCAGCACTTTTACATCATTTGCATGTCTTCGGTGGTACTAATAGCCATATAAAAAAGTTGGCTTTTGTTTACACTTCACATTGAAAATTAACTTCCAGGGGCCTGTGTGTGGTTTGTCTATATCAGTAAGCGCAAAATTATTTGGAAAACATCCTCACATATTAGATATAGTGAAGTATGTCGAAATGTGTGGACTTTTTGTAAGGCCACTAAATGAGTCAAATTGTGTTTCACTTTCAATCTGCTACTATTAACCGTTTTGTAAAGTTTATGGTATAATAAACATTAGTATAAAAACCATTGTGTCAGAGAGAAGTCCTCATTATATTATGTGTGTGTGTGTGTGTGTGTGTGTGTGTACAACGCAACTAAGTGATTGACAATTTCCTGGAGGGAGGTCCCTCCCTTATCATGTGAAATTTCCACTGCTTGGGTTCAGATTGCGCTCGTTGTCACCTATGATGAGCACGTTGTCCACCTCACACAATGGATTAAACTTGGAGTTGTGAGAAGGTCACAGTTTTGCAATTCCTGACTGCTTTACGAACTGATTTAAACCTCAAGGGAGGGAAACAGTAAAAAGCTAGGTAAGCCTATTCGCGCGATAATTTTGTCCGTTTGAATAGTTTACTCTGAACGAAATTGTTTGTAATTGTTCAGAATAATTCAGTTTTACATATTAGTCCACTTTTATTTTCTCAAGTGTAGGCCTATTTTATCTTATTTTCTCAATTACTTAATTGTGTTAGGTCCACTTAATTGGCGTTTTCAAAGGAAATGGACAAAACGTTAATGCATAACCGTGCATGCTAAAAAGTAACGAAAGTGCTAAGTTTTCGTCTGAATTGTGTTTTTTCGCCTTGTCAACGTAGGCTCGTCTCAGTTGCGTTTGGGCTTCACTGTATTATTAGTGAAAAGTTTCTGTTACTGATTTCTGTGTTAATGGCTTGCCGTTTCTTGTTTCCATTTAATACATGTTCAGCAATCTATTTTACTCTTTTGATGGCCTCAATATATACATATATATATATAGGCCTATATATATATTTCATTTTAAAAAAGAGTTTCATAATTCAGGGAAAGTATGGGTTGGAATCTACAGTAAAATTCATTTATAAACCATTCATTTATAAATCTACAGTAAAATTCATTTATCAAATTTTATTGATAAACCAAGAATAAATGCATAGGCCTATTTACTTTTTCACTTAACATAACAATACATATAAATATGCCATTTTATAATGTGAATCAACCAGTTTCTTAATCAAAACGGGGCTCTGTGACTACTGACATGATTACATGTTGTGATCATGATTTCTATGATACAGATACACCCTATAAGTGTTATATGCAATAGGCTTCTGCTTTTTCTAGAGCTTCAGCAATTTTAAGAGGGGCAAACTGGAACTAAACAATGATGTAAAATGTGCACATGAAATCAAGTATTAGTTGTAAATGCTGTGTGAAATGATAATTATTGGTTTTATTTTAAATTTTGGTTACAAAAATGGGTTAACTATTAAATTGTCAAATTACAAGTCATCGCATCGTCATTTTACATATTACTCAGCATTATCATAGCCTATGATAATGCTGAGTAATATGTAAAATGATGATGCAATTTTACATTTGATACAATTGAATCGTAAATTATTATGTTTCATAGGTCCTTCTGTTATTATCACTGCTATTTGTATTATCCAAAAAACAAAATTAATTTCATACAAATGTTTTAGATTTTTTCTCATCACAGTGCTGAAGTAGAGATCTCTCTTCATAGATATTTTACATCTGTTTATAAAAAAAAATATACGCACATTTTGCAACCCCTCAAAATCTGCTAATGTTAATCTTGTTGTTATTTCTTCATGTGTTTTCTGTGTAGGCATGATTCAGAGGATGGAGGTGGTGCTCTCAGTCTTGGGGGAGCTGCAGGAGGCCACAGAGTGCATGGGTCTTGATGCCCTCACTAAAGTTGCTGTGGAGGTGGAACAGGCCCTGGCCTCTTTCTGTCTTCCTTCAGCACTCTGCTCTGAGATCTCCTCATGGCTTGGCATCGACGCACTAGCTCACAGACTGTACCCGGCAGACGCCCCGGCGGGTTTGCTTCCTCTGGTCTGCAAAGGAGAAGGAAACATGCTGTTTGAGGCAGCTAGCATGCTTCTAGTGGGGTCTACGTGCCTGAGTCTGGAGCTACAGGTCAGGACAGTGGTGGAGATGCTTCTCTGGAAGAGATACTACCTGTGCGGAATGATCGACTCAAAGGTGATGCTGCAGGCTGTAAGGTTTTCCCTCTGCACCGAGGAGTCTCAGGACATGCTCAATCTGCCGATTCAGGTGCTGGAGGCCATCTTCGACGCAGATGTCAAGGCCTCCTGCTTCCCTGGCTCGTTTGCAAATATGTGGCACGTGTATGCGCTGGCGTCTGTCCTGCAGTGCAACATTTATTCGGTTTATCCCATGTTCAATTTAAAGATTCGGCCCTATTTTAATCGACTCATTCGCCCAAGGACATGGTTGAAAGACTCTGAGCCCTTGACCCTTCACATCATGTGGTCGGGTGACCTGGAGGCAGGCTCTGTTTTCAAACCCCTCAACTTTGTAGCTTTGATTCATGCTAGCGACCTCAAAATCGGGAGTCCCAACAGCGAGCAGCGAATGCCCTCGGTAAAGTCCCTGGAGCTTCTGAATCAGGATGCCCAGCTGTCATACTCCAACCTCAAAGACAAGTTCAATATCACCAAGAGCACCTTTTACCGCTGGAAGAGGCAAAGCATCGAGTACCACAAGAAATCGGTGGCCAGGTATGAGGCCAAACACTTTTTCCTGACATCCTACAAGCAAGGGAAGCTGATTCCCCTCAGCCACTTTAAAGGGCTTTTCCCAGAAATTCCAAGATCCACTTATTACGCGTGGAAGCAAGAGCTTGTGTCTACTTGCAGGATCTCGGGCGGCTCCACAGGGGAGCTGAGTCCTGGAGACAGCACTGAACAGGACTACTGGTCCTCACCAGAAGTCAAGAAGAAGCCCAACCAAGGGAGCTTTGCTAGCATGTTGGCGTTCAAGTGCGAGAAACTGGAAGGAGAACGGGCCCAAAATGTGGCCTTGATGCAGGAGGCGAAGAGCAGCTTGCAGAACTGTATCATTGCGAACGCCTCCTTCCCCTACAGAATTTTCAAAAGAAGGTTTCCAGGCATCTCCAGATCCACATACTACAACTGGAGGAGGGAAGCCATGCTGTTCACGCCTTTCAAAGAGCTCTCAGGTAGCAGCGAGGAGAGCTCAGATGCTGATAAAACCCAGAGTCCCAGAAGTCAAGTGTCTCTTGCTACGTTTGACAGACAAAAACTGTCACCAAGAGTGAAGATCTCCAGACGCAAGCAAAGGAACCTGAGGCTGGCATACCACCAGAGGAAAATGTTAAGGGAAGAAGCCAAAATGCACATCCGGAGGTCAAAGATGTCCTTCATTAAATTTAAACTCAAGTTCCCTTCAGTTTCCTCCTCTTTCTACTGGCTCTGGAGAGATCCTTTGAAAGGGAAAACCAAGATGCCTGTCCTGATGTCTGAGACGGAGGAATCCCAGAGCTTGGCTGTCTCACCAGAGGTCTTCGAAAAGATAAAAACTCCAGGAATGTTTACTTTTGATGGGAACATCGATTGCCTGAATGGACAGACAGTTCGTCCCTCTGTATTCACACTGCCTGAATACACTTTGCCTGAGCAGTCCAATAATGAACATATGTTTGTAATGGATGTCGTGGCACTGGCTAATTTCAAGGCCCAAGCAAAGCTGTTTTTGCAACAACGCTTTGAAGAGAAGTCCTTTCCCACATTCAAAGAGTTCCGGTCCTACTTTCCTCTTACACCTCGTTCCACCTACTACATGTGGAAAAGGGCTCTGCATCACGGGGTGCCATTAATTCATGGCTGAATGCTGTTGTTTTCTTCACCACTGTAAAGTCCAGTAATAACATCCAAAACTGACACTGCTCTTTTTTTTTTTTAGTTCACAATGCAATGTTTCTTTGAGACTGACTGTTTGTTTTTGTTTTTTTAGTCACCCAGATAATTGCAGTTCATGCATCTTAATTATTTGTCCTTTTCCTTTACTTGACCACTTGGTTCTAGCTCAAGGACATTTGCGTGTGTGTGAAATCAGACAGTCTTTGTGTCCACCTACAGTAAGTGCTGATGGCCCCCAGGCAAAAGGCAGTTCAAAGACACTATCAGGCTCTCTTCTGACCCCCACCCCCAAATATTTACAATTTAAATGAGTTCTAAGTTCTGATTAGGTTCATTTTATTTTCTTGTCTATTTCTTTTTAATTGTTTTTGGGTCTTTTTTATTTTTTATTATTTTGTTTTATACTTGTTTTTTTTCCAGTTGAAAAAGTTCCAGTTGAGGATTTTCTTAAACAAAAATGTATATTATTTGAATTCTTACATTGGAGTGTTCTTTATTTCTTCTTTTATACATATATATTTTTATACTGACAATTGAATGTGATCTCAAAACTTTGGGAAATGGGAAAACTTTGTGGCCAATTTAAAATGTATTTCTCACTATTGAATGTTATAGAATTGTTGCTGTTTTGCACATTGTTTTTGACCATGATTCAGTTCACGCATGTATTTTTTTTTTCTTGCTGCTAAAGCTGTGAAAATTTGACAATCTCTGATTTGATACTGTTGAAGTGTTTGCTGAAGTTGTGTTCTTCAACTACCTAGCTGATTTGTTTTTTTCAGCTTCACGTTTATGGTGTTCTATAACTTTTGGGTTAACTTGTGTAATTTTTTAGACAAGTTCACAATGTGCTCCTTGGATCATTTTGCTGAATTGGATGAGTACAATGCTAATTTTGTTCATTTCATCATGTTGAGCGTCTCATGTATGAGACCAATTGCTCTGTGCAATAAAATCTGGTTTATGCCCACTGTTCTCTCTGTAGGTGAATGTTTATGAAGTATTAGAAACTTTACCACCTAGTGTTGAGTTAATTTGTTAATAAAGATGTGTGTTAGAGTTGAGAACAAAGATGCTCTGGGGTTGATTATGAAAATGAATATGTTGACCTCAGATTAGGCAGGTCATTTAGTCCAACAGCCTTTGAGAAGAAACTGTTGTTTAAATTGGCCCAATAAAAGTTGCACCTGCATGTTTAAATGATCAGCTTGACATTTTCTCAATGTGTAATTGGTTTAAAAAATGGCAAATGAGAGTGAGAGAGCTTGCTTGTGTGATTCATCAACATTGTGATGTTTGTCTTGTGTTTCTGGAGCACTCATAGTCCAGATTTTTCCATATCGACACTGTAGAAGTGTTTACTGCACAGTAGCATGAAAATAATTGACAGGTGGGCCAAGCATTCAGAGATGAGCATCAGAATTAAGGTGTGTTTTTCTTTATGGATGCCAGAAATCTGCAGAAATAAACGTGCCTCTTTGAGTCAGTTTTGAATTTGCACCTTTTTAATGGACATATCAAAAGAACAACAGATCTTCATAAGCATCCCCAAAACGATTGGAAACGTAAGAAAATCCATAAGAGTTAGAGAAAACCCTTTTGAAATCTAGGAATATTTTCTTCCTGTTTCTGGTTTAATTTGTACTTCTATGATTGTATCAGTGAACCTCTTCAGTTTTTGCACATCATGCAAAAAAATCCAGAAGTGAAGGCCTGTATGTAGGCTACAGATGCACTAGATGGCAGTGGAGGGCTTTTTTAGGAGCATCATTACCGGTATTATGAATCTTTTTTTTTTTGAGCTACAGAGTTCTCCTTTCAGCAATCTATTGCTGGAATTACCCATATTGCTTGTTATAAATGAATATTATTAGGCTACTTCTTAATCAAAATGCTAATTTTTAATGCCACATACAGTTTTTAGATACAAAATCAATAGAGGTTAGTCTTTATAATTGCATTCAGAGTTAGTATTCAGTGTAGTGGTTTACATAGGCTAAATGTTTTTTACATTAAAAAACTTAAATTATTACATTCAATTATTAATTTTGTTTGGTCGCTATAAGCGTTCCAACATGAATTACACATCATGAAACCAATTACTTAAATTATTATTTTATTTTTTAATTATGTGATTTAGTGTAAATCTTTTTTTTTTTTATATATTTTTAGTTTGTTTTTGAGCATTTGGTGGGTCTTTTAGTTTGACATCAGTTTATTCAGCTACCTGCAAGTTACGTCAGTGCAAAAATGAGCGCGGATCGGATGATGCTGAAGCCTGAAGTTCAGAAAGAGACGCCTTCACTAAAAAGAAAGTAAGGTAGGCCTACTTATTTTATTTTGATTCCGCGGGAAATTTTGTGACGTTTGATACTTAAATTTATCAAAATGTTTATATGTAAAGGTACATTTTCGTGATAATTTTCAGGTTTACCTAGCGTTTAATGTCTGTTTTTCCGTGAAAGATGCAATGTTTTATCTGACCTGAACATATTCAAATAACTGTTTAAAATGGTATTGTGTCATAAGTAAACACTTGCCATTTATAATTTGTTAGCATAATCATTTTGGCTATTTTTACGTTCTCACCGTGTGTATTTGATTTTAAATTGACATATTATATGTCGTGGTATGGTTGGTTGTGGATTAGTAAAGTGCTTTCAGAAGAGGCTATTTTACTTTACAAACATAAAAGTACAAAAAATCGTCCCAAAACCACTGGCACCAACTAATCATGAACAAAAACATAATGAGTGCACTTTAAAAACAATCAGTTACAGTTGGGACCTCAGGTAAATACAGGCCCTGTCCCAAATGGCACACTCCGGACTTGTAGACTTCCTCAGAGTCCACACTTCGGTGGCGTCATGTAGTGCAGACCTATGCACCTTGTACCGCTCACATATCGCGTCTTTTGCGCGCTCAAGTTCGTTATTTCAAATGTAGGCGCGCGGTATGCGCGCTCATAATGGAAGCGACACGCTCGTTTTTTCCATGCGCGTCCGCGCTGCATCGAGATAAAAACATCTCAACTTTTCAGAATGCCGCAAGCGCACCATAAGCGCACAGTAGGTCATGTGACAAGAACCAACCGGAGCGCAACCGCCGTAGCGCTTTGGAAAAAGGAGAATGCTGCGCGCCCAGCGTTTTCTACGCGTTTTTAGGCGCTATATGTGAAGCCGGCCTTAAAGGAGAACTCTGGCGCAAAATGAACCTTTGGTCTAATAAAACATTGGTACCTAGTCAACCGTTCTCTGAGATTTGTTTTCATGATAATCGAATGTAAAGAGTTTTATCTCTAAAAACTGTTTAGCGTATAATGCTAGTAATGGGGGCATCTATTAAGTAAAAATAAATTGCTAGTTTATACCACTAACAAGACTCAAAATAGCCCCACACTAACACAGTAACATAATGAGGGTCCCTACATGCAAAACGAAGCATTGAGAACTTTGTAAGTGTACAGACCGTTTAATAAGAAGATATTTTATGAAGACAGTCCACTTCGTGTATACAGACACGAGCCATCTTTGGAAAACAGTCTAGACTAGTCAAACCACGAACGCCATTCATACAGTTCAGAAGTTCACTGAACTTCATACAGTTCAGCTCACTTAGCACGTCGTTCGTGGTTTGACTAGTCTAGACTGTTTTCCAAAGATGGCTCTTGTCTGTATACACGAAGTGGACTGTCTTCATAAAATATCTTCTTATTAAACGGTCTGTACACTTACAAAGTTCTCAATGCTTCGTTTTGCATGTAGGGACCCTCATTATGTTACTGTGTTAGTGTGGGGCTATTTTGATTCTTGTTAGTGGTATAAACAATGAGGGTCCCTACCTTCAAACCGAAGCATTGAGAACTTTATCAGTGTCCAGACAGTTTAATAAGAAGATATTTAATACATACTGTCAACTTCGCGTATACAGGCAGAAGCCATCTTTGAAAAAGAGTCTCTACCAGTTGATCTATGAACGCCGATCCAAGTGCGCTGGTGAGATGTGAACGAGCTATAAGTTGTGATAAGGTGAGCGCGAACAGCAGGCTTGGATCGGCGTTCGTAGATCGACTGGTAGAGACTCTTTTTCAAAAATGGCTTCTGCCTGTATACGCGAAGTGGACTGTATGTAAAAAATGTCTTCTTATTAAACTGTCTGGACACTGACAAAGTTCTCAATGCTTCGGTTTGAAGGTAGGGACCCTCATTATGCTACGATGCTAGTGTGGGGCTATTTTGAGCCTTGTTAGTGGTATTAACAAGCGATTTTTATTTGTCATTGATCTATGCCCAATATACTAGCGTTATACTAGCTTTATAGGCTAAACTGTTTTTAGAGATAAAAATATTTACATTCGATAATCATGAAAACAAATCTCAGATAACGGTTGACTAGGTAACAATGTGTAATTAGACCAAAGGTTCATTTTGCGCCGGAGTTCTCCTTTAAAAGGAGAGAATGCCCATGTCCGGTTCGTATCAGCTACATTCAATGCCAAAGAGTAGACGTTTTTGGTTAGCTACGCTAAAACTGAAGCATCCAACGAAAAAGGTGTATGTCTCTCTGCACCATTTTGTTGACAAACGCCTAATACGTTAACAGTAGGGATGGGCATTTCAAGCAAAAATAATAATCAAAGATTGCTGGGTATTATTCAATTATTATTCGAAAATCGCACCCCTCCATCACATCATGCACACATGCATGTATAGGCTATAAGCTACACACCAGAGCACATGAGCAAAGCGGAGCAGTGATGCTTAAATATAAGTAAAAAAAAACTAAACTAAACTAAACTAAACATACGTTTTATATTTAAGTTTCACAATATAATGTTTTATTTATTTATTTCATCTATGTTGATTATATGAAAAGGGAACCGCATGGGATGAGTCAGATATGATCATAAGATGCCCAATATATGGGAAAACATTTGGAATGGCTCAGACAGACAGACATGATTTTGACCACTTATTAAGTTTTGTTTTGTAGAAAGCCTTTCTTTAAAGTGAATTTCGTTTAGTATAAAATGTATCTTCATTTTAATCAATGTTTTATCAACAAATTGCCTGGAATACTAATAAATAAGAAGCAAATATAGTAGATATACAGGACACGGAGGCGCGGGCGCGTGAACTGGAGTGCGTCTTATTAATCAACGAAACTCAGCGTAGGCTATAAGTTACTTGCCTCACATACATGAGAAGTATATCTACAGAAAGCTTGAAATGTGTACTTTTAAACAAAATAATTAAAAACGAGCAAAAATGGGCTGCTCTTTGCTTATGTATAGGTTAAATCGTATGAAGTGTGCATTACTCTCTATAGGCGCATTCTCTACTGCGAACATGGCGAGTCAGCATCATCAAATTTATCTTTGTAGTCGACACTTACAGAAAACACTAGTTTATTAATAAACAATTCAAATGTTTCATGCATAATCATTACTTTTGCCGTTTTTTTGTGGCAAGCTTTATGCGTGCGTTGAGATGCAGAATAGTCAATATATTACGAAAACGCCCATTATGGTTTAGCATTCTCTCCCATATAGTATACATAACTTCCAACCCAACTTCAGTCGTGCACGGGCAGGGGCAGCCCTACTTATTTCACATATTTTCTAACCAGCACATCACTGCGGCGTTCTGAGCGAGCGGCGCTTAATCTTCATAAAGCTTCGAACCGGAAAAGGACAACCGGCTTCCGGTTCAAACCCGCTATGAATCATGGGTAAATTCGCTAACCAGGAAAAAGGTGGATA